TCACAAGAGAAAGCACTTAGAGAAAAGGGAGAAATAAAACATCCTCCCCTATTTGGTTTTCTATTTTTGGATGCCAGATGGCAGAGGATGAATCACAAGGAGAATACGGCAACAAGAGTTCAACAAAAGAAGGAAATAAGCACATAATAAAGGAGCATGTTGTATTTTTTCCACCAGCAGATGGTGTATGACTTTAGGAAGTTATTTGTCCATTTCCTCCCTCCCTGCACATCTTTGTATCTGCGTCTCATGTTAAGGTGTGAAATTCCACTTTGGGCGATGATGGCTGAGCAAAACAAACTCACTAAGTCCACTTGAGAAAGATTGACTACCTGAAAAGTACGCTGACTTCCTCCACAAAAACTCTATTTGAGAGCAAAATACCTTCAGCCTACCTTTAAAAGGTTTGGAGGAATATGAGTGATTTCTATTCAAAAATTAATTAAAATATATAAAAAATATATATAATTATTGTTTGATTTCTATTAATATTTTAAAAATATGCTTCTAATCTTTAAGTCATTTTAATTACTCTTTATATTTTTTATTTCTCTTTTATTTCAACTTTTTTAATTACTTGTATTCTTCTCTTAATTTATTTTTTGGTTCCATGTTTTGTTTAAAACTGTTTATTAATACTTATATATATATATAAAAAATAAAAAAGCAAGTGTTTTGCATCCCTAAAGAAGAATACAGACTTAAAATAACAAACTTTTTTTGTACCTTTCAGTGTAGCTTTCTTCAGGACTTTCATGGCGTACAGCTGACCAGCGTCTGGCCCCGTGACCTTCCTCACCAGAAACACCTAAACACACAAACACAACAAATCTATTTTATATAACTCCATTTATGTGATATAAGTGTTTATGAACAGTGTAATGTACTCATAATTGCCAAATGGTGTGCATCAGTGCATATGTGTGTGTGTGTGTGTGTGTGTGTGTGTGCGTGCGTGCGTGCGTGCGTGCGTGCGTGCGTGCGTGCGTGCGTGCGTGCGTGTGTGTGTGAATTTGTGTTTGTTTGGGTCTTGTTTTTCTAGGTCATACTTATGTCTATTAACATAAACATAAACAAACACATACACACACACAAACAAACACACAGGCTAATTGTTCATTCCTAAAGACAATGAAAGTGAGTGTGAAGGGCCCTCAGACCGCTGTATCCATGGCAACGGCCTCCCAAAAACACCAGCACAAGGGAACATAACTGGGATTTAGAGTGGAAATGAAGCCCACGTTCACACACACACACGTGCACTTAAAAGGATCATTTGGATTGTGTTGAAGTGTACTTGAATGAGGTACTTCTACACAATCAGTACAGTAAATGCAGCTTAAAAAGAGGAGCAACTGTTATCTATGCTCTCTTCAAAGCCACTAGACTCCATTGATTAAAACATTTGATTCAACCTCACAGAAATCAGGAGTCGCTGCTCTATCACTGCTTCATTGTTTGGATTATGATTAGGGGTGTAACAACACACTAACCAATTCAGATTAGATATAACTTTATTATCAACGCACAGAGAACTGAGACAACAATATACAGTTTACCAACTAACCAGATGCAAAACGCAGTAGTGCTAAGTATATTATTTACATATGTATGGGAATCAATGGAAAGATATGATTATGAACGTTATAAGCAGGAAGGTATATAGTAAAGTATGGAGTTATGTATATAATGCTGTACCGTATATAATGTGACACACACACTGATTCATATATAAACACACACTCACCTTGCCGAAGGATCCCTGTCCGAGGACTTTGCGCAGCTCGAACTGCCGCGGGTCGCCTTTCTCTGATCCCTCTTTCACATGATTAGTGATGTTGATCTCCTTGATCGGCACGTCATCCTGTGACACACACGGTGTAAAGATTAGCAACACAGCCTCAAATTCACACTCTAAATTATTCTTTTTTGTATTTTTTTTTATCGGGGAAATACTTTTTTTAGAATGTCGAGGTCGGACAAACAAATATTGTGACAGTGTCACTCTGGGTAATTATGAGGAGCAATTTAACTTATACTTTTCCTATTAATACTTACATACTTTTAATTAAGTAACATACGAAAGACTTGCCACCGCCTGATGGTAACCGCTTCTAAAATAAATATCATTGCATTAAGATAATAGATAAATATAGATAAAAAAGTATGCATTCTAGGTTGGCAATATACAAAGTATTATTTTAGCAACTCATGGAAGTAAAAGAAGAGTTATTTGCTTCAAATGTAACAACAGAAAGTGACATAACAACTCTGCTTTGTTGGAAAGATATAGACCAATTGTAGACCCATTTATACACTCAATAGACCAGAATGCATTGCGGGACGTAAGCAAGACCAGGCAGGTTCCCCCACTAACAGAAGTTTCATTTATTTATTTTTTAAAACAATTCCCCTATCATACACCTCAAAACAACAACGGCTGGATGAGGCAAGTTAAGGCATGATCTCTGGCCATTTGAAAATATGCATTCAGGGAAATGCAGTATGTAAACACAGCAGTAAACTAAAACAACATTCTCTGTAGCAGCAATGTTATCAGTGCAAAAATCTGTTTTTCTCATATCAGTGAATCATACAACAGGTTGAGCAGGGTTGCCGAATGTTCGTCATCCTCTCAGTGGGAAATTAGACACACACACACGCACTATCTAAACGGGACACACACACACACACACACACACACACACACTATTTAAACGGGACACACACATACAGAAGCAAGCACACAAACACACTATTACACACACTATTTAAACGGGACACACACACACTATTTAAACGGGACATACACACATGCACAGCTGTCATGGAGCCACCCCCGATACCTGCTCCCCGCTGTAGCTGAGTGACTAAAGATACCATACTGTGTGACTGTACTCACAATCCCTCCATCAAACTCTTTCTATAGCGTCCTCGCTTCTTTCTATCTGGGCAATAATAACCCTAACAAGTCAACACATCCAGACTACATTTCCCATCGTCCTCTCTGCCCTGCGCTCCTAAATCCATCCTATTCTCTCTTTCAGTCCACCTTTTTTCTACATACTTCTACTGCTTCACCCTCTCCTTCCTCCGTACCTGTAAGTCCCAGGTGGGAGACATGCTGGCTGCCGGGTGCCCCAGTGCATTGTGGGTCCTGTAGTCCCGGCTGTGGCTGAGGCTCTGTGGCGCTAACATGCTCCCTTGCATCGACTGCAAGGCTACAGGATGGAGCTCTTCTCCCTCTCACTCCAACTTTCTCTCTCCCTCAGAGACATATTTCCTCCCTCTCTCCCTCCCTCGTTCTATCTTTTTCTATCTTTATTTGAACCGTTCTCACCAATTCTCTGCTTCTCTTCTTCTATAGGAAAATGTCACATATTAGGAGTAAGGGGGGGGGGAGCCACAAGTGCAAGTATTCAGATACTTTGAGTAAAAGTACCAATACAAAATACAGAATTACATTTAAAAAGTCATGCCTTCAAAAGTTAAAAAAGTACTCATGTGTCATCAGCAAAAGGAATTTAAGGTACCAAGAGTGAGTAAGCACGTGCATACTACACCCACATCCTCTAATACACCTCGCTATATTTGCTATATGTAGCCTCATAGACGATAGCTCTCTTTTAATTTGGAGTCAAAGTCGTCTCCGGTTGACACAGACCCTACGACTAATCATAGCTCGGTTATTTTAACTTAATAAAGAATTGATTGAAGCAAGCTTCCTTCTGTAACGCCTGGTTACAAAATCGCCTTTCAATTATATCAGAAAAACATGCTTCCTGATTTCGTCTTAATGTCACGGCATATACACAAACAGCCTAACATGCACACTGTGATCCACACTGCATGGTATCATCGCTTACGCCTCTGAACATCACCACGCTGCATGCTAAAGATGAGATTCTCTCT